CCAGATCAATAACGCCAAATATGCTGAAACAAATATGTAAAGAACGCATTTCAAAGTATCAAATTAGCACTACTTTGTTTGATCCGAGTAGAATTCTGACAAAAAAGATTTGAGAATTTTTTCCTCCTTGTTCTCACTGTTTTCGATTCCCATCTTTGAATCTAGTATTCATTTTTTTCCTTCTTAACGTGATCAAATATTTGCCTCAATCTCAGGAGATTCAGTCTTTTTAAAACTCGACTGATTGAATTACCTTCGTCGAATTAGAAGATTATTGAGTTTTTAAGTAAAAAGTTTCCACAGGGGTAGAAATTTTTCATTGCATGCCTAAGTATGAGAAAAATGGCTTCATTATATAGTGGTATTCAGGTTTTATTAAAAAGCATCGGAACAAAGTAAAATCACATACAGTCAGCGATTCATAATATTTTACTTTAATTTTCGACTTTAAGTTTTGCCTTGCGGGTACGAAAAACTGCACTTAATTTTTAGTTATGTGACATGGTACATGGTACAATGTCAGTCAGAGTGAAAAATGCTTGACTATAAAACTGTTAATACATATAACAGTTTAAAATTTGAAGTAAGCTAGGTTTCTCGTTATAAATTGCCAGCTTTGTTAAACTGTCTACTTAATTTAGATTTCAAAATAGAACTGCGAATAGCGTACTTGCTTAGATCATAACCAGTCTAGTGAAATCATTTCAATCTTGGGGTTGAATAAAAATTAGCTGAAACTGGCTGCTTGTTTCGGTAGTTTAATAATTACCAGCTCCTTTTCGCTCGAATAAGAGGTTCTGATTTGTACTGTTGGCCAGAGTCAAGATCTTTCCACTAACGCCAGTTTGATGTAAAACTTTTACACAACTAAAGTACTTCCTTCATTGACCGGAGTATGAAGTTCTGGTTTCTACTGTTAACCAAAGTCAAGATCTCTCCACTAGCACCCGTTTTATGCAAACCGTTTAGAGAAGTAGTGTACTCCCTTCATTGACCGGAATAAGAGATTATAGTTTCTACTGCTTACCAAAGTCGAGTTCTCTCCACTAGCATGCGTTTTGATGCAAAATGTTTAGAGAAGTACAGTATTCCTTTCATTCACCGGGATTTCCTACATAGCCCCACCAGTGGCTGAGGAGTTAAGACTGCTGAGTACTGGTAGTTTGGTCCGGGTTCGAATCCAGCCGAATGAGTTGATTGCAATGTTCGGTTTCGTAGTTTGCCATACTTAACGTGAATAGGAGCTGGGTTGCTTTAGAAAATTCTTCGGAAAGGCATCCCTTTCCTTAGACAGGTACCCCTCATGTTTTGTCATATTGAAATAACGTAACGTAACCTTATTGCCACGTTAAATAATGCTATTTGCTTCTTCACTTTACACCATTTCGGCTTTCGGCAAATTTCACAATGAAAACATTTCTGCTATTTAAAAAATAAGTAGCAGAGAAATCCCGTATTTTCAAGTTTGCTTGAGGTTCTGCATTTAAGTATCGTATAGAGTGTCCCCCCAAAAGAAATGTGCCAGATTTAATATGCCCCAAAAATACGTTTTTTGATTTAAATAGGAAGTATTTTACTTGCTTAAAACAAGCAAAATTTCCGATTTAGGAATGTAGCGTTTAATTTGATCTGGTATTTTATCACTCTCAGCTCATTTCGCAGCTTCGTTGCAGCTTAGTAGACATAGAGGGTTACGCAAAGATATAGCAAGTTTTCATTCCTAAACCTCGTTATAAAAATAGAGAGTAATATGCACGGACTGTTAGGAAGTTTCGTGCAATCTTTAGATATGAAAGTGCACGTAATGAAACAACAATTCGCAGGTTTATAAAAAAACCTGAAGACTCAGGTTCGACAGCAAATATTAAATCCCCAAGCTTTTCTATGATTAGCTACCCTCAAAAGGCAGATATATGAAAAAGTTATTCCGAATTTCATCGAAAGACTACGGAAAATAGCGGAGACCATTATTTTTCATTCTTAAACTGGAACATTCACCTGTTGTAAGAATGTAAAAATATTTTCCATTTTCTACAAATAAAGTATTTTATTGGGCATATTAAAACCTGCGTTTCTGTTGGGACACTCTTTATTATTTGAGTATTTGTAAGGACAAATTTGCAAAGGCATTTTGTGAATTGGCAATCAAAAAGAAGTCTCATGTAGACACCGCGTGACTTATCAAATTATACACAGTTTTTGCTGCACTTCATTTAAACTTACGCCCTCGAATTATTATAAATAAATCAACCGATCTCTCAAAGCAAGTTCGAAATGACATCAAAAACTGCAAATTTTGAAATTGGATATCCCGATCAATTTTTGTCGTACGGGAGTCAGATGTCTTATAATTTTATGTTTTCATAACGAATATAAAACTTTCCCAAATAACGGGTGGCCATAATTAAACTGACAGTGCTCACAGTGTTCTCTAGCGCGATCTATTTGCGAGAATGACGCCACATTTTGTAGGAAGATTAAACAAGACGGGGGACAAAGGATTCCGCGAAAAAAAATTAGTTCCAAAAGTCACCGCTAGGGGATTATTTGGCACTGTGTAATAGAAAATAGAGTGTTAACAAATGCAAATCAATACGGAAATTACCTTTTATTTTGCATTCAAATGAGGTTCAATATGGCTGCCGTTGTTGTGGACCACATATTGCATTCTGTGCACAGTATGCGCAACAGCAGAAAGTAGTAACATGTCTGCAGGAATCTCCCGTACAGTCCGTGATATGTTATCCTTCAACGTAGCCTGGTCCTGGGCCACTCCTTGATAGACCTTGATAGACTTAAGGTAACCCCATAGCCAGAAGTCGCAGGGGGGTAAGCAAGATCAGGCGACCGAGGTGGCCATGCAGTTGGAAAGTAGCGGCTAATGATTCTTTCTGTTGTGAATTTCTGTCGTAGCATCTGTTGCACCCGTACAGCAACGTGTGGAGGGGCTCCATCTTGCATGAAAATTTTCTTTACTGAAGTGCCGGAATGACAAAGTTGTTCAGCATGTGGCGATATTTCTCTCCGGTAACAGAACATGTTTCCGGTCCTGTCGGGGTAATGTTCGCATAGAAGAATGAACCTACGATAAATTCCGCTGTGAACCCACACCAGACAGTTACCTTTGGTGAATGTAAATAAATTGCTGTGACTGCATGTGGTGATTTGTCATCCCCAATTCGGCAGTTCTGGGTATTCACAGTTCCATTCAGGTAAAAGTGGGCCTCATCTCCCCATAAGATTTTCCACGGCCAAGCATCATCCACCTCTATTCTGGCAAGAAATGTGAGAGCAAAAGTCAGTCGCTTATCATGGTCGAGGTACAGTAACTCCTGTACACGACTGATCTTGTACGGATAGAAACTGATAATCTTTCGTAAGATTTTCTGTACCGTACTGTAAGAAATATCCATATTCTATAAGGCATATCCATAATAAAAGGTAATTTTATTCCGTATTAATTTGCACTTGTTAACATTCTATTTTCTATTACACAGCGCCAAATATTCCCCTAGCGGTGACTTTTGGAACTATTTTTTTTTTTCTCGCGGAATCCTTCGTCCCCCGTAGTGTTTAATCTTCCTACAAAATGTGGCGTCATTCTCGCAAATAGATCGCGCTACAGAACACTGTGAGCACTGCCAGTTTAATTATGGCCACCCGGTATATGTATAAGAACCGGCAGACTACATTAAAATGTATATTTCGTTATTTGTAGGAAATAATTTCCTTAAAATTTGTTATTGCCAAAGCTAGAATATTTTCGTCATTATTCGTCATGTACTTCTGCAATTAGAAGTACATGACTACGACAAATGATTGCATAAATAAAGGCTGAGTAAGGTTTTTTCAGACGAGTAAAGGTGTGGATATATGTACTCGTATATATCCTCTTAAAACATATATGTGACTATACATATAGTCATGACATGAATAATTTGGAACTTGGTGGTTACGTAATAGATGTCTATCGAAGAAACTTGGCAAGACAGACATGGCCGGATTAAATATAATTTTATTAATGAGGAAAGCAATTCTGGATTCGCAATATTTGGTTCACATACGGACGGGCGTCTTATGCACCCTAGAATTTTGTTAGCTCAGCACATATTCAGTGCATAAAGAAGGTAGCCGGAAAGCGTCTTGCCAGGAGTAAGGCGTAGGCGAAAGTGTCTCAGCAAATTCAGAGGAAGAAGGGAGAGAGTCAAAAAGTTTAAGTTCGAGTTAAAAAGCTTTTGGTTTACAATTATTTAGTGATTGGGCAAGATGTATCTGCATTAAGCATTAGGTAGGATCGCATGATTAATTTGAATGACGCAGTTTAGACTTGTAGCGCTATTTTTAAGACAGAGAGAGGAAGTCCCCAAATTAAATTAAAAATAAAAGAGGTTATAGCCAATTAAAATTAGAAGTTTGCTTTTCTATTTTTTATGTTACACATATATGTGCGCGTATGTATGCATGTCGTCACCCTTACCTGGCTAGGTTTACGTTTGGTATTGCCTATTGCAATGAAAATGGGAAGAACACAATTAAATATTATATAACAGTCCCATATACAAACTTTCGACGTTCTATGGCTAATCGTTTTTGAGTTATGCGAGATACGTACGTCACGAAAAATGACCCTTCTGAATCCCTTTTAAATATATTTTACAATACGTTTTGGAAAAAGGAGTCCTATATTGTGCACGTACGTACATACGTCATGAAAAAATCCATTTTGAACGCATTTTACAATTGTTTCGGAATATGAATTCATTTATTCTGTCCGTACGAACAGACGTGATGCAAAAAAGTAGTCAAAATGCATTTAGGTACGGTCAAGATGGATATTTCCTTTGAAAAATGAAAACCGAAAGTTTTCGCGATTACGATTTTTTCCGGTTATCCGGAATTTTTCGCTCTTTATTTCGTATAAGTAAAAATAATTGCTTTGGGAATTAATTAGAATAAATACCATAAAACCAATAAATGAACGGATAACTGTATTTCCTTACCTAGGATGTCTAATGTCTGGCAGACTTCTGTTCAATGAAATGAAATCACTGACTAGTGCATTGAAGCCATTCGTTTTGTAGAGTTCATCTTTGGTATGCTCCAGTTCAGGAGGCAAGAAGAAGGCAGATCCTTCTTCTCCAGGTCCATGTGGAATAACAACGTTTTGTGCTTTGAACCAAGACTTCTTTTCTGGCGTCTAAAATAATAAAAATAGTTTTACAAAAATAAATAAATTAGTAATGCTTCTGTAAAAACATTAGAATCCCAATTATCCTGATTCCTGGTAGCTAGACATTTATCTTGACTGGTAATCCAGTAAAACTAAATTTGTTATTGATTTATGTTTTAATAATTTTGTTAATTTAAATAATGTGAAAAAGATGTTTAATGGCTGTGAAATTTTAAAAAAAAGTTATAAATTACTTAAAGTGAATGCGTGCGACTTGCTTGCAATGTTCGGTATATGTGTAGGTTATATAAATTAGTAGAAAAGCAAAATCATGTTACGCCTGTCCTCTTGCTTTTTGTTTACTTTATGAGTGACTGCTTGGTTAAAAAAAAGAACGCCTTTTCTAAAAAAATTCTGAAACAGGCTGTGTTTTATTTTATAGATAAAAGTACCGGGTAGCCATAATTAAACTGACAGTGCTCACAGTGTTCTGTAGCGCGATCTATTTGCGAGAATGACACCACATTTTGTAGGAAGATTAAACAAGACGGGGGACGAAGGATTCCGCGAAAAAAAATAGTTCCAAAAGTCACCGCTACGGGAATATTTGGCGCTGTGTAATAGAAAGTAGAGTGTTAACAAATGCAAATTAATACGGAATAAAATTTATCGCGGTCCATTCTTCTATGAGAACATTACCCCGAGAGGACCGGAAACCTGTTCTGTTACCGGAGAGCAATATCGCCATATGTTGAACAGCTTTGTCATTTCGGCACTTCAGCAAAGACAATGCCTGGGGGAAATCATTTTCATGCAAGATGGAGCCCCTCCACACCTTGCTGTACGGGTGTAACAGATGCTACGAGAGAAATTCACAACAGAAAGAGTCATTAGCCGCTACTTTCCAACTGCATGGCCACCTCGGTCGCCTGATCTTACCCCCTGCGACTTCTGGCTGTGGGGTTACCTTAAGTCCAAGGTCTATCAAGGAGTGGTCCAGGACCTGGCTACGTTGAAGGATAACATATCACGACTGTACGGGAGATTCCTGCAGACATGTTACTTTCTGCTGTTGTGCATACTGTGCACAGAATGCAATATGTGGTCCACAACAACGGATCCACATTGAACCTCTAATTTCCGTATTGATTTGCATTTGTTAACATTCTATTTTCTATTACACAGCGCCAAATATCCCCTAGCGGTGACTTTTGGAACTAATTTTTTTTTTTCGCGGAATCCTTCGTCCCCCGTCTTGTTTAATCTTCCTACAAAATGTGGCGTCATTCTCGCAAATAGATCTCGCTACAGAACACTGTGAGCACTGTCAGTTTAATTATGGCCACCCGTTATTTTCCTTGTCATAGCGAGAATAAAAGAAAGATTATCCGTTTATGTGCGGTCATATATATGTGAATATTAATTTCATTGTTTTATGTTAGTCGAAATGGGATCATTGCTCGTTTAAAAAATAATTGTTTAATTTTATCGAAAAATTAAACAATTATTTTTTACTAACTGTTATTATCTGTTATCTTGTTTTAAAGAAATGAAAACAATTTTTTAAAATATACAGGACACGTATCCTCATATTTATAACATAATATAAATACTTAGTTAGCCTCAAGGAAGAGACAGCCCTATTATCTAGAATCTCAGAATAAGCCGTGGATCCTGTTGAGCGGGATATTTGGAATTCTAATGCATGTAAGTGTTGCTGTATTGCGTTAAGAAATGAAACAAGATGTAAATAAACAAACAACTGAGAGTAAAAAAAAAAAAAAAAAGTTCAAGTTAAATATAGTAGATTGCAAAACTATTAATTCTCGACTCACCTGCAACCAGCAATATTTCCTTAAATATTCATACGGTAATAAACTTGGATGCAACAAAAGATTTATTTTCATATTTTGGTGAAAGCACTGCTCGTTATTTTTAACCGCAACCGCAAATAATTATTTTTCGGGGCGCATTATAAACTACGTCAATTAAGCTTAAGCGAGGTTCACTGTTAAAAACGTACCTCTTAAGATTTTTAACGCAGATCCGTGGAAGCTATTGGAAATGTCTTAATTGCGCCGTGAAACAAAATACGCGAGTAGTAAAAGTTCTTTTTCGACAGCATAATCTTTAATTTTAAATGATAAGAAGAAATATTTCAATGTAAAAGTCTACTGTATAGATTCAAAATATTACAGCCTACTACTTGCTGCATAGAGTACATTCAACGCAATGAGATTTCTTTTTAAAAAATCCAGAAACAGTAAATCACTTTGTTAACTTCATGATTCTCTAATACAGTCAAAAGTCGTTAATTCGGACACCCATAATTCGGAATGATCTACAATTCGGACCTCAAAATTAAAAACTTTCTGCGCATGCGCCGCGTTGACACATGCGCATAGGCGTTTACGCGTGCGCGTAAGACCTTTTACGACTGCGCATATGAGTGTGCGCAAGTGCAGAATACGTTTTCGCGTGCGCGTTTTATGTATAATGGACGTATAAGCTAAAATTATCTAATTATCTATTTCAGTTAATGTTGATGATTGCGTTGTTCCTTAATTTTTGAATTGGATCCGGCTTATTATTTTTTGCAGACTGTAAGATCAATTTTGTAAAAGTAAGCTTAAACTTTCGATTATATCAAATAGAATTTCCGATATATATTTGTTAATATGTAAAGGATCTAAAGCGAAAGTATGTTTTGAAATCCGAAATCTGTTTATCAATTTCACGCTGCTCGGCGGGAGGAACGCCGCGGCGGGCGCGTAATGAATTGGAAGTTGATATGTCAGCACTATCCTTATCTTCAGCGCAGATGTTTTTATTTTATTTGGCTTATAATTCCTTACCAAATGTAGTATTTCATCTCGATATGCTCCGTCTTTGATATGATTTAAAACAAGTTCCTCGTCATTATAATTCGCTTCCGATAGCGAAGAAAAGTGACAGAGGTTATTGAAAACGAAAAAATTTCGATTGACAAATTAGTCGGTGTTCTCGACACAGCAATTATAGGACTTGAACAGCGCGGAACTTTAACAAGTTCTGAACAAGAAATTATGTCTGTTTAATAGAATTAAAGAGAAAGTATTACCACATGAAACGAAGCAAAACTTAAACAACTTACATTGAAAGAAATGTTTAATAAAGTAAACAAATAAATATTAAGCTTTTTCTTTTTGCAAATTTTGATACCCTTTAGATCATAATTGTTCTTTATTTCATAAATTACGGTTTCATATTTTTAATTTTAGAATTTCTGCATGCAATCTTACGAGATTTAAACTGATGATCTATAATCCGGAAAAATCGATAATCCGGAATCGCCGAAGTCCCGACGAGTCCGGATTAACGACTTTTGACTGTATGTACATTCATTTGCTATATCGCAATGACAAAACTATAAACACCCCTGGAATTAATATTTCTTGCACTTTTGTACTGTAAAATCCTTAAAAATGAGCACGAATTTCTGTGTTAATAAAAAACGATATATACGCCATGAGCCCTTGTTGGGATTTGGCAAAATTCTCTGTTATAGTTATTGTACTTAATGATGTCTTTTTTCTTTCAGCCAGCTGTTTTGCAAATGTGGGCAATTACTATAAATGAGGATGTTCCATCTCACTCTTATCTCCTTCGAAAATAATTTTTTTAAATATATGTTACTACCAGTATGCTTAATTTTTTAAATACAATTAATTAAAATTCATTTAATTTAATTTTGGTATGAAGTAATTAAATTAATGCAGAAAAAAATTGTGTTTGTTTTTAATTATTAAAGGGTATTAAAATTTAAATTATTTTTATTGCATTAAATCAAAATTAAATAAATGTTGGTACTCACAATTAACGAGACGAATGAATCTGTCGGTTCTTGCATTGCTGTTCTATGTTTGGTTACATGCTGACAATAAACATCACAGTCATAGTGCTTTAAATCCGTCTTGTTTTTATTTTTATTTTGCTAAGACTAGACTGGAAAGTCCTAAAGTAGGCTATTAATTACAAGTAATTTACTAATTTTACTAATTAGTTTGGGAATTACATATTCGCCATGTGTAATTTTGATTACACATGGCAGATTAACTGAGATTTTCAGCTATATGCAGTTAATTAGAATTTTGGTTTATGTCTAAACCTAGGGGAATCTCAATGGCAGGCTTTCAGGACTACAGATAGAAGAACGATTCTTTAAACCATAAATTAGGACAGAGGGAAGAAATCTTAAGAGCTTTAATACGAAAAGGCGATAAAATCATGCTTATGTGAAGTATAATAATTTTTATTTTTTATTTCTGGAACTTGTTAGATAGTTTCAATGAAACTGCATTTATATTGAGTTAATTCAGAGATGTCTTTAAATTTCATCATTCATTTTAACAATATAAGCTTCTGAAACAAAATCATAGCTACACATACACAGGTAAAAGAAATTGGCAGTTTGTCAAACCTAATATTAAACTCTAACTTTACTTCCGTTCCTGCAATAGCCTATAATTATTTATCATAAGACTTTTATTTTTATCAATATGATTGAAATAAATTATACGTTCTCTAAGACGTAAAACTTTCATCCAACCTTCCCACAATTTTTTTAAACAAGTTTTCTTGTTTTTCGATGCTTATTTTAAAGAATATTATTTGCTCGTTTATGCGATCAATAATTTATAATGATAGTTATACAGTAGAAGTTACCCTTCTGTAAACTTTTGTGAATAACAATTACAGTTGTTTTATCTTGTAATTGTAATTCATCCGTTTGCTTTCGTATTTATGTTCATGGTTTTATTAATGTGGTTTAGATTTCAAATTACTTTGAATTCAAATTAAACATGCATCCTACAATATTTAGACAACATTTACAAAAATAAATATTCGTATAGAAATGTATGTAAATGTATGTAAAAATAACATTCGAATATATGTAAAAAGATGTTCGTATACAAAAGTAAAGTGACAACGTAGAACCGGTTTAATAATTAGGGAAACTGAGTTTACTCTCGAAGTTAATTTTAACA